TGTAGCCCCAGCTGTGCTGGAACTCACCATGTAGACCAGGCTGGCCTTGAACTCACAGAGATCTGCCTGCCTCTGCCTCCCCGATGCTGGGATTAAAGGCGTGTGCCACCACGCCCAGCGATCTTATGATATTTTTAAATGTTTAGTTGACATATAACAATCATACCTATTTGTGGTGTGATATTTTGATACATGTATGTAATGTATGATCAGATCAGAGTACTCAACATGTCTTTCACCTCATGTATATAATTTCTTATGTTGGGGACATTCAGAGTCCTCTTTACCAGCTCCTTTGAAACACACAATTAAATGTTGTCAGAGACAGTTAATGTACTGTGCTATGGAACAGAAGTTATTCCTTTTATCCAGTCACACCATTGTATGTTAACCATCCTTTCTCCAGCCCCCTCAACCGTCCTCTTTCTATCCTCTGACAAGTACTATTCTACTCTCTAGTTCTCTGAAAGCAACATTTTCAAATTCTACATATAAATAAGAGCATGCAGTATTTACCTTTCTGTGCCTGACTTGTTTAACTTAACATGTCCTCCATTTCCATCCATATTGTTGCAAAACAAATAGAATTTCATTGTTTTAATGACTAAGTAATATTCTATTGTGTATCCATGCCACTTTTTTTTTTTATGACCCAATACAACAACTAGTCTTTATTAGAGAGAAGAAACCTACATCACATTCTAAGAGTTAATGCAGGGGCTCAGTGGGCCTGCTGGTGGAGCACCAGCTTGTAATGAGTTCCACAGTTTGGGCATCGTTGAATCTTGCCTTTGTGCAACCAGAACCAGATGACAATACTGTCGTGCCCTTCACAGTTGCAGTGTTGATGAATACCTAGGGTGATTCCATATCTTAGCAATAGTGAATAGTGCTGTAATAAACAAGGGAGTGCATATCTCTTTAACATACTATTTATTGTAATTTGGAAATACGCCCAATAGTGGGATTGATGGATCATATATTCTGGTTTTAGTTCTTTGAAAACCTTAATACTATTTTTCTGTAATGACTGTACTAATTTACATTTTTCACTAATAGTGTGGGAGAGTTTCCCTTTTTCTGTGTCTTTGCCAGCATTTACCTTTTGGTGTGTGTATGTGTGTACATTGCCCAGCTTTTATGTGGGTGGGAAGGATCCAAACTTGGGTCTTTATGCTTGTACAGCAGACACCTGACCGACTGAGCCATCTCCCTAGCTCTTTTTTTTTTTTAATAACAGCTTTGTGTCTGGAGTAAGATATCTCACTGAGATTTTGATTTGCATTTTCCTGATGATTAGTGATATGGGAATTTTTTTCATTGCCATTTGTGTATTTTTTTACCCCTCCATATACCATACAGTGCACTTGGGTTCATACCAGTATTTTATCTTCTAGGAGCATAGTCACCTAGTTAATATTTAACAATGTCTGGAGACATTTTTGGTTGTTACGGCTTTGGGAACAGGTGCTCAGGGCATGTAGTGGGCAGAGACCAGGGATGCAGATAAGTATCTTACAGGCTATAGAAGTCTCCCTTCTAGCAACAGAAAAATCATTCAGTTCAAAATGTTACTAGTGAGCTGGAGTAAACTTGCTCTACATGGTGTAATTTACCTTTAAAAAGTCATTCTTTAATGTTTTAGTTGTTAGCCTTAGCCTTTAACGGCTACGCTATCCCTCCTTCTAAGTATGTGGTTATTAAACTTTAATCCCAGCACTTGGGAGGCAGAAGCAAGAGAATCTTTGTGAGTTTGAGGCCAGCCTGGTCTACATAGTGAGTTCCAGGACAGCTGGGGCTACAGGGGAGATCCT